GCAGCAGAACTCCTGTAAACTGCCTCTCTCTACATTCAGGTTTCAGAAATCCTGTATCCATCATCTACTGCACACAGACTACCGAAATCTCCCTTACTATGTTTGTCAACCCCCATGCTACAGAACTCCCATAAACTGTGTGAACGATACTCAGGCGGCAGAACTCCTGAAAACTGCCTCTCTGTACATCCAGTTTAGGAACGACAGTAAGCTGCGTCTCCTACACTCAAGCTACAGGAATCACATCTACTGTGTATACCTTCTCTCAAGCTACAGAACTCCCGTAAACTGTCTCCTACACTCAGGCAGCAGAACTCCTGTAAACTGCCTCTCTCTACATTCAGGTTTCAGAAATCCTGTATCCATCATCTACTGCACACAGACTACCGAAATCTCCCTTACTGTGTTTGTCAACCCCCAGGCTACAGAACTCCCATAAACTGGGTGAACGATACTCAGGCGGCGGAACTCCTGAAAACTGCCTCTCTGTACATCCAGTTTAGGAACGACAGTAAGCTGCGTCTCCTACACTCAAGCTACAGAAATCATGCATACTGTGTATACCTTCTCCCAAGATACAGAACTCCCGTACACTGTCTTCTACACTCAGGCGGCAGAACTACTGTAAACTGCTTCTCTTTACATCAAGCTTACAGAAATCCAGTAAGTGTCTCCTACACTCAGTCTACAAAAATCCCGCATACTGCGTATGGCTACTCCTATACGACAGAACTTCTGTAAACTCTCTGCTGCACTCAGTCTACAGAACTCCTGCAAACTGTGTCTCTCTGCATTCACGGTACATAACTCCTCAAGCAGTTTCTCCTACAATCATACTACACAAATGCTGCATAATGCGTATGCCTACTCAGAAGCTACAGAACTCGCAGAAACTGTGTGAACTACAGTCAGGATGCAGAACTGCTGTACAATGCTGCTCGCTACGTCTAGCTTACAGAAATACTATAAGCTGCATCTCCTACACACAGGCAACAGTAATCCTGCATACTGTGTATGGCTACTCCTATACTACAGAACTCCGGTAAACTGTCTCCTGCACTCAGGCGGCAGAACTCCTGCAAACTGTGTCTCTCTGCATTCAAGGTACATAACTCCTCAAGCAGTTTCTCCTACAATCATGCTACACAAATCCTGCATAATGCGTATGCCTACTCAGAAGCTACAGAACTCGCAGAAACTGTGTGAACTACAGTGAGGATGCAGAACTGCTGTACAATGCCGCTCTCTACGTCTAGTTTACAGAAATACTATAAGCTGCATCTCCTACACACAGGCAACAGTAATCCTGCATACTGCGTATGGCAACTCGTATGCTACAGAACTCCGGTAAGCTGTCTCCTACAATGAGGCTGCAGAACTGCAGTAAACTGCCTCTCTCTACATCCAGTTTATGGAACTACAGGAAGCTGCGTCTCCTACAGTCAAGCTAAAGAAATCACACCTACTGTGTATAACTTCTCCCAAGACAGAACTCCCGTAAACTGTCTCCTGCACTCAGGCAGGAGTGCTGTACAGCTTCCTGTAGTTCCATAAGCTGGATGTAGAGAGAGCCAGTTTCAGCAGTTCTGCTGCTTCAGTGTAGAAGACACAGTACACTGGAGTTCTGTGGCTGGGGAGAAGGCATACGCAAAATGCGCGATTTCTGTAGACTGAGTGTCAGAGACGCAGCTTACAGGAGTTGGTAAGCTTACAGAACTCCTGTAAGCTGCGTCTCTGACACTCAGTCTACAGAAATCCCGCATATTGCGTATGCCTTCTCCTTAGCCACAGAACTCCACTAAAGTGGGTTTTCGACACTGAAGCTGCAGAACTGCTGAAAACTGGCTCTCTCTACATCCAGCTTATGGAACTACAGGAAGCTGTGCCTCCTACACTCTAGTACAGCAAAACTGCATGCTGCGTTTGCCAAATCCCAGGCTATAGAACTCCTATAATCTGTGTCTCCTAACCTCAGCCTTCAGAACTCCTGCAAACTGCGTCTCTCTACATCCATGGTACAGAACTCCTGCAGGCTGTTTCTCCTACACTCACGCTACAGAAATCCTGCATAGTGCCTATGCCTACTCAGAAGCTACAGAACTCGCAGAAACTGTGTGAACTACAGTCAGGATGCAGAACTGCTGTACAATGGCTCTCTATGTCTAGCTTACAGAAATACTATAAGCTGCATCTCCTACACACAGGCAACAGTAATCCTGCATACTGCGTAAGGCAACTCCTATGCTACAGAACTCCCGTAAACTGTCTGCTGCACTCAGGCTGCAGAACTCCTGTAAACTGCTTCTCTTCTTGCCAAGCTTACAAACTCCTGTAAGCTGCGTCTCTGACACTCAGTCTACAGAAATCGCGTTTTGCGTATGCCTTCTCCCTAGCCACAGAACTCCAGTATACTGTGTCTTCTACCCTGAAGCGGCAGAACTGCTGAAAACTGGCTCTCTCTACATCCAGCTTATGGAACTACAGTAAGCTGCGTCTCCTACACTCAGGCTACAGAAATCACGCCTACTGTGTATACCTTCTCTCAAGCTACAGAACTCCCGTAAACTGTCTCCTACACTCAGGCAGCAGAACTCCTGTAAACTGCCTCTCTCTACATTCAGGTTTCAGAAATCCTGTATCCATCATCTACTGCACACAGACTACCGAAATCTCCCTTACTATGTTTGTCAACCCCCATGCTACAGAACTCCCATAAACTGTGTGAACGATACTCAGGCGGCAGAACTCCTGAAAACTGCCTCTCTGTACATCCAGTTTAGGAACGACAGTAAGCTGCGTCTCCTACACTCAAGCTACAGGAATCACATCTACTGTGTATACCTTCTCTCAAGCTACAGAACTCCCGTAAACTGTCTCCTACACTCAGGCAGCAGAACTCCTGTAAACTGCCTCTCTCTACATTCAGGTTTCAGAAATCCTGTATCCATCATCTACTGCACACAGACTACCGAAATCTCCCTTACTGTGTTTGTCAACCCCCAGGCTACAGAACTCCCATAAACTGGGTGAACGATACTCAGGCGGCGGAACTCCTGAAAACTGCCTCTCTGTACATCCAGTTTAGGAACGACAGTAAGCTGCGTCTCCTACACTCAAGCTACAGAAATCATGCATACTGTGTATACCTTCTCCCAAGATACAGAACTCCCGTACACTGTCTTCTACACTCAGGCGGCAGAACTACTGTAAACTGCTTCTCTTTACATCAAGCTTACAGAAATCCAGTAAGTGTCTCCTACACTCAGTCTACAAAAATCCCGCATACTGCGTATGGCTACTCCTATACGACAGAACTTCTGTAAACTCTCTGCTGCACTCAGTCTACAGAACTCCTGCAAACTGTGTCTCTCTGCATTCACGGTACATAACTCCTCAAGCAGTTTCTCCTACAATCATACTACACAAATGCTGCATAATGCGTATGCCTACTCAGAAGCTACAGAACTCGCAGAAACTGTGTGAACTACAGTCAGGATGCAGAACTGCTGTACAATGCTGCTCGCTACGTCTAGCTTACAGAAATACTATAAGCTGCATCTCCTACACACAGGCAACAGTAATCCTGCATACTGTGTATGGCTACTCCTATACTACAGAACTCCGGTAAACTGTCTCCTGCACTCAGGCGGCAGAACTCCTGCAAACTGTGTCTCTCTGCATTCAAGGTACATAACTCCTCAAGCAGTTTCTCCTACAATCATGCTACACAAATCCTGCATAATGCGTATGCCTACTCAGAAGCTACAGAACTCGCAGAAACTGTGTGAACTACAGTGAGGATGCAGAACTGCTGTACAATGCCGCTCTCTACGTCTAGTTTACAGAAATACTATAAGCTGCATCTCCTACACACAGGCAACAGTAATCCTGCATACTGCGTATGGCAACTCGTATGCTACAGAACTCCGGTAAGCTGTCTCCTACAATGAGGCTGCAGAACTGCAGTAAACTGCCTCTCTCTACATCCAGTTTATGGAACTACAGGAAGCTGCGTCTCCTACAGTCAAGCTAAAGAAATCACACCTACTGTGTATAACTTCTCCCAAGACAGAACTCCCGTAAACTGTCTCCTGCACTCAGGCAGGAGTGCTGTACAGCTTCCTGTAGTTCCATAAGCTGGATGTAGAGAGAGCCAGTTCTCAGCAGTTCTGCTGCTTCAGTGTAGAAGACACAGTACACTGGAGTTCTGTGGGGGGAGAAGGCATACGCAAAATGCGCGATTTCTGTAGACTGAGTGTCAGAGACGCAGCTTACAGGAGTTGGTAAGCTTACAGAACTCCTGTAAGCTGCGTCTCTGACACTCAGTCTACAGAAATCCCGCATATTGCGTATGCCTTCTCCTTAGCCACAGAACTCCACTAAAGTGGGTTTTCGACACTGAAGCTGCAGAACTGCTGAAAACTGGCTCTCTCTACATCCAGCTTATGGAACTACAGGAAGCTGTGCCTCCTACACTAGTACAGCAAAACTGCATGCTGCGTTTGCCAAATCCCAGGCTATAGAACTCCTATAATCTGTGTCTCCTAACCTCAGCCTTCAGAACTCCTGCAAACTGCGTCTCTCTACATCCATGGTACAGAACTCCTGCAGGCTGTTTCTCCTACACTCACGCTACAGAAATCCTGCATAGTGCCTATGCCTACTCAGAAGCTACAGAACTCGCAGAAACTGTGTGAACTACAGTCAGGATGCAGAACTGCTGTACAATGCTGCTCTCTATGTCTAGCTACAGAAATACTATAAGCTGCATCTCCTACACACAGGCAACAGTAATCCTGCATACTGGTAAGGCAACTCCTATGCTACAGAACTCCCGTAAACTGTCTCCTACAATGAGGATGCAGAACTGCAGTAAACTGCCTCTCTAACTGCTGCACTACTTATCTACAGGAAGCGGCCTCCTACACTCTAGCTACAGCAAACTGCATGCTGCGTTTGCCAAATCCCAGGCTATAGAACTCCTAAATCTGTGTCCCTACCTCAGCCTTCAGAACTCCTGCAAACTGCGTCTCTCTGCATCCATGGTACAGAACTCCTGCAAGCTGTTTCTCCTACACTCACGCTACAGAAATCCTGCATAGTGCCTATGCCTACTCAGAAGCTACAGAACTCACAGAAACTGTGTGAACTACAGTCAGGATGCAGAACTGCTGTACAATGCCGCTCTCTATGTCTAGTTTACAGAAATACTATAAGCTGCATCTCCACAAAGGCAACAGTAATCCTGCATACTGCGTATGGCAACTCGTATGCTACAGAACTCCGGTAAACTGTCTCCTACAATGAGGCTGCAGAACTGCAGTAAACTGCCTCTCTCTACATCCAGTTTATGGAACTACAGGAAGCTGCGTCTCCTACAGTCAAGCTAAAGAAATCACACCTACTGTGTATAACTTCTCCCAAGACAGAACTCCGTAAACTGTCTCCTGCACTCAGGCAGGAGTGCTGTACAGCTTCCTGTAGTTCCATAAGCTGGATGTAGAGAGAGCCAGTTCTCAGCAGTTCTGCTGCTTCAGTGTAGAAGACACAGTACACTGGAGTTCTGTGGCTGGGGAGAAGGCATACGCAAAATGCGCGATTTCTGTAGACTGAGTGTCAGAGACGCAGCTTACAGGAGTTGGTAAGCTTACAGAACTCCTGTAAGCTGCGTCTCTGACACTCAGTCTACAGAAATCCCGCATATTGCGTATGCCTTCTCCTTAGCCACAGAACTCCACTAAAGTGGGTTTTCGACACTGAAGCTGCAGAACTGCTGAAAACTGGCTCTCTCTACATCCAGCTTATGGAACTACAGGAAGCTGTGCCTCCTACACTCTAGCTACAGCAAAACTGCATGCTGCGTTTGCCAAATCCCAGGCTATAGAACTCCTATAATCTGTGTCTCCTAACCTCAGCCTTCAGAACTCCTGCAAACTGCGTCTCTCTACATCCATGGTACAGAACTCCTGCAGGCTGTTTCTCCTACACTCACGCTACAGAAATCCTGCATAGTGCCTATGCCTACTCAGAAGCTACAGAACTCGCAGAAACTGTGTGAACTACAGTCAGGATGCAGAACTGCTGTACAATGCTGCTCTCTATGTCTAGCTTACAGAAATACTATAAGCTGCATCTCCTACACACAGGCAACAGTAATCCTGCATACTGCGTAAGGCAACTCCTATGCTACAGAACTCCCGTAAACTGTCTGCTGCACTCAGGCTGCAGAACTCCTGTAAACTGCTTCTCTTCTTGCCAAGCTTACAAACTCCTGTAAGCTGCGTCTCTGACACTCAGTCTACAGAAATCGCGTTTTGCGTATGCCTTCTCCCTAGCCACAGAACTCCGTATACTGTGTCTTCTACCCTGAAGCGGCAGAACTGCTGAAAACTGGCTCTCTCTACATCCAGCTTATGGAACTACAGAAGCTGCGTCTCCTACACTCAGGCTACAGAAATCACGCCTACTGTGTATACCTTCTCTCAAGCTACAGAACTCCCGTAAACTGTCTCCTACACTCAGGCAGCAGAACTCCTGTAAACTGCCTCTCTCTACATTCAGGTTTCAGAAATCCTGTATCCATCATCTACTGCACACAGACTACCGAAATCTCCCTTACTGTGTTTGTCAACCCCCAGGCTACAGAACTCCCATAAACTGGGTGAACGATACTCAGGCGGCGGAACTCCTGAAAACTGCCTCTCTGTACATCCAGTTTAGGAACGACAGTAAGCTGCGTCTCCTACACTCAAGCTACAGAAATCATGCATACTGTGTATACCTTCTCCCAAGATACAGAACTCCCGTACACTGTCTTCTACACTCAGGCGGCAGAACTACTGTAAACTGCTTCTCTTTACATCAAGCTTACAGAAATCCAGTAAGTGTCTCCTACACTCAGTCTACAAAAATCCCGCATACTGCGTATGGCTACTCCTATACGACAGAACTCTGTAAACTCTCTGCTGCACTCAGTCTACAGAACTCCTGCAAACTGTGTCTCTCTGCATTCACGGTACATAACTCCTCAAGCAGTTTCTCCTACAATCATACTACACAAATGCTGCATAATGCGTATGCCTACTCAGAAGCTACAGAACTCGCAGAAACTGTGTGAACTACAGTCAGGATGCAGAACTGCTGTACAATGCTGCTCGCTACGTCTAGCTTACAGAAATACTATAAGCTGCATCTCCTACACACAGGCAACAGTAATCCTGCATACTGTGTGGCTACTCCTATACTACAGAACTCCGGTAAACTGTCTCCTGCACTCAGGCGGCAGAACTCCTGCAAACTGTGTCTCTCTGCATTCAAGGTACATAACTCCTCAAGCAGTTTCTCCTACAATCATGCTACACAAATCCTGCATAATGCGTATGCCTACTCAGAAGCTACAGAACTCGCAGAAACTGTGTGAACTACAGTGAGGATGCAGAACTGCTGTACAATGCCGCTCTCTACGTCTAGTTTACAGAAATACTATAAGCTGCATCTCCTACACACAGGCAACAGTAATCCTGCATACTGCGTATGGCAACTCGTATGCTACAGAACTCCGGTAAGCTGTCTCCTACAATGAGGCTGCAGAACTGCAGTAAACTGCCTCTCTCTACATCCAGTTTATGGAACTACAGGAAGCTGCGTCTCCTACAGTCAAGCTAAAGAAATCACACCTACTGTGTATAACTTCTCCCAAGACACAGAACTCCCGTAAACTGTCTCCTGCACTCAGGCAGGAGTGCTGTACAGCTTCCTGTAGTTCCATAAGCTGGATGTAGAGAGAGCCAGTTCTCAGCAGTTCTGCTGCTTCAGTGTAGAAGACACAGTACACTGGAGTTCTGTGGCTGGGGAGAAGGCATACGCAAAATGCGCGATTTCTGTAGACTGAGTGTCAGAGACGCAGCTTACAGGAGTTGGTAAGCTTACAGAACTCCTGTAAGCTGCGTCTCTGACACTCAGTCTACAGAAATCCCGCATATTGCGTATGCCTTCTCCTTAGCCACAGAACTCCACTAAAGTGGGTTTTCGACACTGAAGCTGCAGAACTGCTGAAAACTGGCTCTCTCTACATCCAGCTTATGGAACTACAGGAAGCTGTGCCTCCTACACTCTAGCTACAGCAAAACTGCATGCTGCGTTTGCCAAATCCCAGGCTATAGAACTCCTATAATCTGTGTCTCCTAACCTCAGCCTTCAGAACTCCTGCAAACTGCGTCTCTCTACATCCATGGTACAGAACTCCTGCAGGCTGTTTCTCCTACACTCACGCTACAGAAATCCTGCATAGTGCCTATGCCTACTCAGAAGCTACAGAACTCGCAGAAACTGTGTGAACTACAGTCAGGATGCAGAACTGCTGTACAATGCTGCTCTCTATGTCTAGCTTACAGAAATACTATAAGCTGCATCTCCTACACACAGGCAACAGTAATCCTGCATACTGCGTAAGGCAACTCCTATGCTACAGAACTCCCGTAAACTGTCTGCTGCACTCAGGCTGCAGAACTCCTGTAAACTGCTTCTTCTTGCCAAGCTTACAAACTCCTGTAAGCTGCGTCTCTGACACTCAGTCTACAGAAATCGCGTTTTGCGTATGCCTTCTCCCTAGCCACAGAACTCCGGTATACTGTGTCTTCTACCCTGAAGCGGCAGAACTGCTGAAAACTGGCTCTCTCTACATCCAGCTTATGGAACTACAGTAAGCTGCGTCTCCTACACTCAGGCTACAGAAATCACGCCTACTGTGTATACCTTCTCTCAAGCTACAGAACTCCCGTAAACTGTCTCCTACACTCAGGCAGCAGAACTCCTGTAAACTGCCTCTCTCTACATTCAGGTTTCAGAAATCCTGTATCCATCATCTACTGCACACAGACTACCGAAATCTCCCTTACTATGTTTGTCAACCCCCATGCTACAGAACTCCCATAAACTGTGTGAACGATACTCAGGCGGCAGAACTCCTGAAAACTGCCTCTCTGTACATCCAGTTGAGGAACGACAGTAAGCTGCGTCTCCTACACTCAAGCTACAGGAATCACATCTACTGTGTATACCTTCTCTCAAGCTACAGAACTCCCGTAAACTGTCTCCTACACTCAGGCAGCAGAACTCCTGTAAACTGCCTCTCTCTACATTCAGGTTTCAGAAATCCTGTATCCATCATCTACTGCACACAGACTACCGAAATCTCCCTTACTGTGTTTGTCAACCCCCAGGCTACAGAACTCCCATAAACTGGGTGAACGATACTCAGGCGGCGGAACTCCTGAAAACTGCCTCTCTGTACATCCAGTTTAGGAACGACAGTAAGCTGCGTCTCCTACACTCAAGCTACAGAAATCATGCATACTGTGTATACCTTCTCCCAAGATACAGAACTCCCGTACACTGTCTTCTACACTCAGGCGGCAGAACTACTGTAAACTGCTTCTCTTTACATCAAGCTTACAGAAATCCAGTAAGTGTCTCCTACACTCAGTCTACAAAAATCCCGCATACTGCGTATGGCTACTCCTATACGACAGAACTTCTGTAAACTCTCTGCTGCACTCAGTCTACAGAACTCCTGCAAACTGTGTCTCTCTGCATTCACGGTACATAACTCCTCAAGCAGTTTCTCCTACAATCATACTACACAAATGCTGCATAATGCGTATGCCTACTCAGAAGCTACAGAACTCGCAGAAACTGTGTGAACTACAGTCAGGATGCAGAACTGCTGTACAATGCTGCTCGCTACGTCTAGCTTACAGAAATACTATAAGCTGCATCTCCTACACACAGGCAACAGTAATCCTGCATACTGTGTATGGCTACTCCTATACTACAGAACTCCGGTAAACTGTCTCCTGCACTCAGGCGGCAGAACTCCTGCAAACTGTGTCTCTCTGCATTCAAGGTACATAACTCCTCAAGCAGTTTCTCCTACAATCATGCTACACAAATCCTGCATAATGCGTATGCCTACTCAGAAGCTACAGAACTCGCAGAAACTGTGTGAACTACAGTGAGGATGCAGAACTGCTGTACAATGCCGCTCTCTACGTCTAGTTTACAGAAATACTATAAGCTGCATCTCCTACACACAGGCAACAGTAATCCTGCATACTGCGTATGGCAACTCGTATGCTACAGAACTCCGGTAAGCTGTCTCCTACAATGAGGCTGCAGAACTGCAGTAAACTGCCTCTCTCTACATCCAGTTTATGGAACTACAGGAAGCTGCGTCTCCTACAGTCAAGCTAAAGAAATCACACCTACTGTGTATAACTTCTCCCAAGACACAGAACTCCCGTAAACTGTCTCCTGCACTCAGGCAGGAGTGCTGTACAGCTTCCTGTAGTTCCATAAGCTGGATGTAGAGAGAGCCAGTTCTCAGCAGTTCTGCTGCTTCAGTGTAGAAGACACAGTACACTGGAGTTCTGTGGCTGGGGAGAAGGCATACGCAAAATGCGCGATTTCTGTAGACTGAGTGTCAGAGACGCAGCTTACAGGAGTTGGTAAGCTTACAGAACTCCTGTAAGCTGCGTCTCTGACACTCAGTCTACAGAAATCCCGCATATTGCGTATGCCTTCTCCTTAGCCACAGAACTCCACTAAAGTGGGTTTTCGACACTGAAGCTGCAGAACTGCTGAAAACTGGCTCTCTCTACATCCAGCTTATGGAACTACAGGAAGCTGTGCCTCCTACACTCTAGCTACAGCAAAACTGCATGCTGCGTTTGCCAAATCCCAGGCTATAGAACTCCTATAATCTGTGTCTCCTAACCTCAGCCTTCAGAACTCCTGCAAACTGCGTCTCTCTACATCCATGGTACAGAACTCCTGCAGGCTGTTTCTCCTACACTCACGCTACAGAAATCCTGCATAGTGCCTATGCCTACTCAGAAGCTACAGAACTCGCAGAAACTGTGTGAACTACAGTCAGGATGCAGAACTGCTGTACAATGCTGCTCTCTATGTCTAGCTTACAGAAATACTATAAGCTGCATCTCCTACACACAGGCAACAGTAATCCTGCATACTGCGTAAGGCAACTCCTATGCTACAGAACTCCCGTAAACTGTCTGCTGCACTCAGGCTGCAGAACTCCTGTAAACTGCTTCTCTTCTTGCCAAGCTTACAAACTCCTGTAAGCTGCGTCTCTGACACTCAGTCTACAGAAATCGCGTTTTGCGTATGCCTTCTCCCTAGCCACAGAACTCCGGTATACTGTGTCTTCTACCCTGAAGCGCGCAGAACTGCTGAAAACTGGCTCTCTCTACATCCAGCTTATGGAACTACAGTAAGCTGCGTCTCCTACACTCAGGCTACAGAAATCACGCCTACTGTGTATACCTTCTCTCAAGCTACAGAACTCCCGTAAACTGTCTCCTACACTCAGGCAGCAGAACTCCTGTAAACTGCCTCTCTCTACATTCAGGTTTCAGAAATCCTGTATCCATCATCTACTGCACACAGACTACCGAAATCTCCCTTACTATGTTTGTCAACCCCCATGCTACAGAACTCCCATAAACTGTGTGAACGATACTCAGGCGGCAGAACTCCTGAAAACTGCCTCTCTGTACATCCAGTTGAGGAACGACAGTAAGCTGCGTCTCCTACACTCAAGCTACAGGAATCACATCTACTGTGTATACCTTCTCTCAAGCTACAGAACTCCCGTAAACTGTCTCCTACACTCAGGCAGCAGAACTCCTGTAAACTGCCTCTCTCTACATTCAGGTTTCAGAAATCCTGTATCCATCATCTACTGCACACAGACTACCGAAATCTCCCTTACTGTGTTTGTCAACCCCCAGGCTACAGAACTCCCATAAACTGGGTGAACGATACTCAGGCGGCGGAACTCCTGAAAACTGCCTCTCTGTACATCCAGTTTAGGAACGACAGTAAGCTGCGTCTCCTACACTCAAGCTACAGAAATCATGCATACTGTGTATACCTTCTCCCAAGATACAGAACTCCCGTACACTGTCTTCTACACTCAGGCGGCAGAACTACTGTAAACTGCTTCTCTTTACATCAAGCTTACAGAAATCCAGTAAGTGTCTCCTACACTCAGTCTACAAAAATCCCGCATACTGCGTATGGCTACTCCTATACGACAGAACTTCTGTAAACTCTCTGCTGCACTCAGTCTACAGAACTCCTGCAAACTGTGTCTCTCTGCATTCACGGTACATAACTCCTCAAGCAGTTTCTCCTACAATCATACTACACAAATGCTGCATAATGCGTATGCCTACTCAGAAGCTACAGAACTCGCAGAAACTGTGTGAACTACAGTCAGGATGCAGAACTGCTGTACAATGCTGCTCGCTACGTCTAGCTTACAGAAATACTATAAGCTGCATCTCCTACACACAGGCAACAGTAATCCTGCATACTGTGTATGGCTACTCCTATACTACAGAACTCCGGTAAACTGTCTCCTGCACTCAGGCGGCAGAACTCCTGCAAACTGTGTCTCTCTGCATTCAAGGTACATAACTCCTCAAGCAGTTTCTCCTACAATCATGCTACACAAATCCTGCATAATGCGTATGCCTACTCAGAAGCTACAGAACTCGCAGAAACTGTGTGAACTACAGTGAGGATGCAGAACTGCTGTACAATGCCGCTCTCTACGTCTAGTTTACAGAAATACTAAGCTGCATCTCCTACACACAGGCAACAGTAATCCTGCATACTGCGTATGGCAACTCGTATGCTACAGAACTCCGGTAACTGTCTCCTACAATGAGGCTGCAGAACTGCAGTAAACTGCCTCTCTCTACATCCAGTTTATGGAACTACAGGAAGCTGCGTCTCCTACAGTCAAGCTAAAGAAATCACACCTACTGTGTATAACTTCTCCCAAGACAGAACTCCCGTAAACTGTCTCCTGCACTCAGGCAGGAGTGCTGTACAGCTTCCTGTAGTTCCATAAGCTGGATGTAGAGAGAGCCAGTTCTCAGCAGTTCTGCTGCTTCAGTGTAGAAGACACAGTACACTGGAGTTCTGTGGCTGGGGAGAAGGCATACGCAAAATGCGCGATTTCTGTAGACTGAGTGTCAGAGACGCAGCTTACAGGAGTTGGTAAGCTTACAGAACTCCTGTAAGCTGCGTCTCTGACACTCAGTCTACAGAAATCCCGCATATTGCGTATGCCTTCTCCTTAGCCACAGAACTCCACTAAAGTGGGTTTTCGACACTGAAGCTGCAGAACTGCTGAAAACTGGCTCTCTCTACATCCAGCTTATGGAACTACAGAAGCTGTGCCTCCTACACTCTAGTACAGCAAAACTGCATGCTGCGTTTGCCAAATCCCAGGCTATAGAACTCCTATAATCTGTGTCTCCTAACCTCAGCCTTCAGAACTCCTGCAAACTGCGTCTCTCTACATCCATGGTACAGAACTCCTGCAGGCTGTTTCTCCTACACTCACGCTACAGAAATCCTGCATAGTGCCTATGCCTACTCAGAAGCTACAGAACTCGCAGAAACTGTGTGAACTACAGTCAGGATGCAGAACTGCTGTACAATGCTGCTCTCTATGTCTAGCTTACAGAAATACTATAAGCTGCATCTCCTACACACAGGCAACAGTAATCCTGCATACTGCGTAAGGCAACTCCTATGCTACAGAACTCCCGTAAACTGTCTGCTGCACTCAGGCTGCAGAACTCCTGTAAACTGCTTCTCTTCTTGCCAAGCTTACAAACTCCTGTAAGCTGCGTCTCTGACACTCAGTCTACAGAAATCGCGTTTTGCGTATGCCTTCTCCCTAGCCACAGAACTCCGGTATACTGTGTCTTCTACCCTGAAGCGGCAGAACTGCTGAAAACTGGCTCTCTCTACATCCAGCTTATGGAACTACAGTAAGCTGCGTCTCCTACACTCAGGCTACAGAAATCACGCCTACTGTGTATACCTTCTCTCAAGCTACAGAACTCCCGTAAACTGTCTCCTACACTCAGGCAGCAGAACTCCTGTAAACTGCCTCTCTCTACATTCAGGTTTCAGAAATCCTGTATCCATCATCTACTGCACACAGACTACCGAAATCTCCCTTACTATGTTTGTCAACCCCCATGCTACAGAACTCCCATAAACTGTGTGAACGATACTCAGGCGGCAGAACTCCTGAAAACTGCCTCTCTGTACATCCAGTTGAGGAACGACAGTAAGCTGCGTCTCCTACACTCAAGCTACAGGAATCACATCTACTGTGTATACCTTCTCTCAAGCTACAGAACTCCCGTAAACTGTCTCCTACACTCAGGCAGCAGAACTCCTGTAAACTGCCTCTCTCTACATTCAGGTTTCAGAAATCCTGTATCCATCATCTACTGCACACAGACTACCGAAATCTCCCTTACTGTGTTTGTCAACCCCCAGGCTACAGAACTCCCATAAACTGGGTGAACGATACTCAGGCGGCGGAACTCCTGAAAACTGCCTCTCTGTACATCCAGTTTAGGAACGACAGTAAGCTGCGTCTCCTACACTCAAGCTACAGAAATCATGCATACTGTGTATACCTTCTCCCAAGATACAGAACTCCCGTACACTGTCTTCTACACTCAGGCGGCAGAACTACTGTAAACTGCTTCTCTTTACATCAAGCTTACAGAAATCCAGTAAGTGTCTCCTACACTCAGTCTACAAAAATCCCGCATACTGCGTATGGCTACTCCTATACGACAGAACTTCTGTAAACTCTCTGCTGCACTCAGTCTACAGAACTCCTGCAAACTGTGTCTCTCTGCATTCACGGTACATAACTCCTCAAGCAGTTTCTCCTACAATCATACTACACAAATGCTGCATAATGCGTATGCCTACTCAGAAGCTACAGAACTCGCAGAAACTGTGTGAACTACAGTCAGGATGCAGAACTGCTGTACAATGCTGCTCGCTACGTCTAGCTTACAGAAATACTATAAGCTGCATCTCCTACACACAGGCAACAGTAATCCTGCATACTGTGTATGGCTACTCCTATACTACAGAACTCCGGTAAACTGTCTCCTGCACTCAGGCGGCAGAACTCCTGCAAACTGTGTCTCTCTGCATTCAAGGTACATAACTCCTCAAGCAGTTTCTCCTACAATCATGCTACACAAATCCTGCATAATGCGTATGCCTACTCAGAAGCTACAGAACTCGCAGAAACTGTGTGAACTACAGTAGGATGCAGAACTGCTGTACAATGCCGCTCTCTACGTCTAGTTTACAGAAATACTATAAGCTGCATCTCCTACACACAGGCAACAGTAATCCTGCATACTGCGTATGGCAACTCGTATGCTACAGAACTCCGGTAAGCTGTCTCCTACAATGAGGCTGCAGAACTGCAGTAAACTGCCTCTCTTACATCCAGTTTATGGAACTACAGGAAGCTGCGTCCTACAGTCAAGCTAAAGAAATCACACCTACTGTGTATAACTTCTCCCAAGACAGAACTCCCGTAAACTGTCTCCTGCACTCAGGCAGGAGTGCT